CAGACAGAGACACAGAGACAGAGAGACAGAGACAGACACAGAGAGACAGAGAGGGGGACAGAGAGATGGACAGAGAGAGACAGAGGAGAGAGGCAGACAGACAGATATAGACAGAGACACAGACAGAGACAGACAGACACAGGCAGAGAGACAGAGAGAGACACAGAGACAGAGAGATAGACAGAGGCAGAGACAGATATAGAGACAGAGAGAGAGGCAGAGAGAGACAAAGACAGATAGAGAGACAGACACAGAGAGAGGCAGAGAGACAGAGACAGACAGACACACAGATGATAGAGGTAGAGACAGATAGACAGACAGATACAGAGACAGACAGAGATAGAAAGAGGCAGACAGAGACAGAGGAGAGAGTGGGGCATATGGAATTGAAGGTGTTGGTAGAAGTGACAAGGACAGAGACAAAGACAGACAGAGAGACAGAGAGGCAGACAGAGACAGATTGAGACAGACACAGAGAGACAGAGACAGAGAGATACACAGAGACAGAGAAGAGAGACGGACAGAGACACAGAGAGAGACAGAAAGAGACAGAGACAAAGAAGAGAGAGAGAAAGAGAGACAGATAGACTGTGTGTGTCCCAGACAACTGGGGGAAACCTCAGGCTCCTGGAAACCCTGTCATTGGGAATTAGAAGTGCTTTGGAAAGACCTATTGCAAGACTGAATACTTTTAAAATTCATAATTTTGTGGTGATCACTTTTCCAGTGTCCTTTTATAGTAATGGCAAAAATTGTATTTTTTATTCTAGATGTCTAATTACGTGGTGAAAGCACAGGCAAGCTGATTGGTGAAGTAGACACAGTCTCCCACTCCATTGTTTTATGAAGAGACCGAGCCTGGTCCTTTCTTTTCCTTAAACAGACTAAAAGGCAACACACTGATCTAGATCACAGGGTATCTATGAACTGTGACCAAAGACACTCACTCTGAAGCTGACAGTCATAGTCTTTCCCTGGACCATCAAGCGTTTCTGCAAGCATGACTCCTAACTGCAGTCACTAGGTCCAGGCGAGGCTACAGCAGTGACTGAAGGCTCCTGGCCAGGGCGTAGCCTCCTGCACAAGTCATAGTCTCTAATTCCTGTCAGGATTGTCCTGCTGGGCAGTTTTCAGTCAAGCTTGCAGAAGGCAACAAGCATGTGAATTAAGTGATACCACCAGGGAGACGGGCTGGCACCACTTGCATGACATTGCTAAGTTCATCCAAAGGAATGCTGGTGTATTTCAGCAACGTCTGCACGGTGGCACATTACTTGTGTGCCAGGAGAGAAAGATGTGAGGTTTGCCTGGAAACGCTTTAAGAGGGGGTGTACAGGTTTTCCATTCTTTTGGAGGCAATTGTGAACAGAACTGTGTTACTGATTTATAATTTCCATGTAGAAATGATCCTGACTTATATATCAGTCATCTCCCACTCTTTAAAAATTCGGTTTAGGCTTGGATTTTAAAAACGTAAGCTGCATGATATCCTCATCAAGGAGGATATATAGACTGCAGTTAAAAAGATGGGCGTGCCACACACTACTAAGAAAATTGATTTTAAAGTACTGAAAACTTAACGATTAGGGAAGTTACTTAAGTAGTGACATAGGTTCTATAACAAAAGTTATGTCAACATTTGCAAAATCGATAGAATTGTAAGAATACACTCGCTGCATATTGCATGTCCTAGTTGTGCATCCCAGGAGACTGCCTGGTAAACTAGGTTTCATAAAGGAACAAACGCCCTGCCTAGGAAAACAGATTAGGTGACAAAATCTGTTGACAGTTTGGTTCCTGAGCTTTCATTCACAGAATTCCTCTCAGAAGGCGAAAACAATGTACACCAGGGTTCCCAGATTTCTGCAGTGCATGAAGCACTTAGAATCATGCGTCTTCTTAGATACCTAGACCAGGGCAAGTGTTCACACTCCAGGTTGGCAAAGAAATGGCTTCATCCAAGAAAATGTAACACGCTCTCATGCTGAAACGGAACCACCCCGGGCACAGGAGCCATGGTGCCGGCCCGGCCTTGACTGCTCACTCACACTCACGGGGCCTCTCTGCCTTGACTGCAGGAGAAGCCCTACAAGTGCCCCGAGTGCAGCAAGGCCTTCAGCCAGAAGCGCGGCCTGGACGAGCACAAGCGGACACACACCGGAGAAAAGCCTTTTCAGTGCGACGTGAGTCAGCTTCTCTTTTCTTCCCCAAGGGGGAGGTGGAGGGGTGGGGGCGGGCTGGGTGTGGTGGTGTTACAATGCTGATCTCTATATCGTGATGTCTTGTGTTGTTTACATCTTGGTGGCATAATCCACATGGTTGTTAACGTTACTCATCTGGTTATTAATGTCAGTCATCGAGTCTACTGGTAACAGCTAAACTGATTTGCTTTACGCTGTGTTTGCACCTGTGTTAACAGAACTGCGTACTTTCAGGATAGCAGCGCATGATGGCTCAAGGCACCATCAGTGTCTGCCGAAGGCTTTGACAGATCAGTCAGTGACAGTTAAAGCTGGAAATTTAGCGCGTCAGGTGTTTGCTTTGTACAAGGCGAGCGGTTTTGAAACTCTTGTTAAAATAACACTCTGCTAGGGGTTTACATTCCCTGCTGTGGCATTTCAGTTGAAATTATCTGAGTTTAATCCATTTAGGAAAAAGAATGGTTTCTTGAGCAACAATGTCACCTTCTCCTGTGTGTGACAGAGAGCTGACCCAGGTATGAGCAAAAGCACTTGGACGCTTATTTCTGACCCCAAAATAGCAAAAAGTGTACTGAACTGTGTGCCACTGCGGAAGGGTGGGTGACCCCCGTGTTGAGGGAAACGTGAGCACGCAGCCCCACTGGCAGGCCCCGAGGGGTGACCAGTCTGTGTGAAAGTAGACTCCCTCACACAGCATGTCTTCCTTGCCCTCCCATGATAATCTGGTGGTCAGGGTAAGGAGCCGCCTACTCCCTGTGGGCCCTCTCATAACAACACCTACATCAACAGTGACCTGCTTTTAGAAAATGACCTGAAGACAAGTACTGGGAATTGGAGGTACAAACCCAGCCTGGTCATCGCCACTGGTGTCCTTCATGGGTGCTATGCCCCGCATGGCACTCGCTGTCACACTAGCAGGGCTACTTTGGCTACTTGATGGGACAGCTGCCCTAACGTGTCGGGAGGGAGAGGCGATCTCCTGTGGTTGTCTCCCACCGTCCCACTCAGTGTCTGGCTGACTTTACGCTGCTTCCCAATGTCCTCAGAACCAGAGTGTGCTAAGCACGCTGTTGTCAACCTACTAATGTCACATTTACAGCCTATGTGGGTTCGAGAAGCCAGTTGAACAGCTCCTACGTGTCTGTCAACCGCAGCCCTCGGGAGACAGTGGACTTGCTGTTCCAAATGTCTCCCCGTCAATAGCTTGCACGTTCCTTACTTCAGAAGGAAGTGAGGCAGGAGCAGCCTCACCGTGTCTTGTCACACCCTGTCTCCAAGGTATGTGTTCTCCTGGCTAGCCTGTCAAGGAGGTTTTTAATTGAGTTGAAGTTCACATGAAATGAATCATTTTCAAGCAAACGATTCATTTGCATTTGGTACATTGACTGTGGTGCATTCAGCACCTATATCTAGTTCCAGAGCATTTTCCTCACTGCAGAGTAAAAGTCCCTCCCGTTAACTGCATTTTCTCCAGCCTGGCACACATGCCCTGCCTACATTTCTGTAGCTTGGCCTCTCCTGGGTATTGCATGTAAATCATGGCCCATGCGGCATGTGACCTTCTGTACTGACTTCTTTCACTTAGGATGCTCTTAAGGCCCATCCATGTGGTAGCGGGTGTCCTTTCCATCCCTGAATGATGCCTCCCATTGACTCTGTAGACCAATACTGGTCAGTGCAGTCACCTGTTCACAATTGGGTTGTTTCTACCTTAGGAGTTATTGTGACTATGAGGTGAGGAATATATGTATGCATGTATTTGAATATCTGGTTTCAACTGTTGTGTCAAAGGGCGATGCTATTTGACTGCGTCACTGCCATAATGTTTGCCACAGTAAAGCTACTGCTTAATGCTCCCACCCGCAAAGAACAGGGATTCCAATTTCCAGGTTGGAAATTGCAGGTACATGCCCTGAAATCTAGGGTAGATTTCTTCAACTCCTCTTTTCTACAAGGACTCTGCCATCTCCAAATAACCCAAAACACAGGTTCTATTATTATCTTCACTTAAAAATCAAGAAACCAAAGCACAGAGCTGAAGACGCTGCTTTTCTCCTAATAATGGTTAACAATTATTTTCCCTTCACAGTTATATTCATCTTAGGGAATGTGAAATGGTATCACATTTCAGTTTTGATTTATATTTTCCAAAGGAGTAATGAAATTCATAATCTTAACATGTTCCTGCTTCTTGGCCAGTTGGTATCATCTATGGAGAAGTACATACTCAAGTCCTTTTAGAATGTGTTTGTCTTTTCATTCACTGTAAAGTCCTGTTTAATTGGAGTACTAGATATTTACCAGATTTAAAACTTGAAACTTATCTCTCATTTTGTAGATTTCACTTTCTTGATACCCTTTTTCAGTGTGAGTTAAAATGTATATTTAAAATTAAGGTAACGATTCATTATCAGTTTTTTACTCTTGAATATATTAGCTATAGGTTTTTTTTCCCACGAATGATCTTTATTGTATTCAGGTTCCCTTGCTACTTAACAAATTTAACAAGACTATGTTGGGTGTTTTTCACATAATTTTTACTGCATTTTCTAGGTGACCTTAGTTTTTCCCCTTCTGTTTTTTTGTATCAATGTGGTTATTACATTAATTTTCTTTGAGTTGTCATTTGGTCACTTGGAAAATGGCAATTGATATTTCTGGATGTGGCTTGTCTGGGTTTAGTTTTACATTCATGTTTATAAGGGATATTGGTTTGTAGTTCCCTCTCCTTGCTGAGCTTTGTTACTATTACGGTTGGCCTTACAGTACTTTTTGGCAGAGTTTGAGAAGGATTAATGTTAATTCTTCTATCGGTGTTCATCACTGGACTTTTCTTAGCTGGGATATTTTTAATTTGATTTGATCTGTTATGTGTGTTGGAGTTTTTCCTCTTAAATTAGTTTTAATAATGATTTGTGTGTTTCTGGGACTTTGCCCTTTCAAATAGGTGATCTAATTTGCTGGCCTCCAAATTGTTCATACTATCTCCTTCTAACCCTTTTTACCTCTGTGGTGTCAACAGTAAAGTGCCGCTGTGACTTTGTCCTTGTAAATACAGTGCATGTGCATCTCTGTGCTAACTTCTCACAGCCTATAGGACAAAGACTCACCTTTCCACTTAAATGACCAAAAAATAGTTCAAGTTTCCTGAAAAAGTGAGGCTGGTCCCTATCTTCGCTCCACATGGTTAGCGTCATATACACTATTCCTTCTAACTACAAACTCCTCTTCACCTCCTGTCCTACTTGTAGAATAGATATAGCTACAGATCTGTCAGTTCTTCAAGATTTTCCTCAAATGCCTTTCCACTGATCAACCCTCCCCTCACTCCTTCGACTTTCCTTTCTTCATAGTTCCTGCTCCATGCCATGCCTTACCTGCAAGTTATAAGTATCTTTGGCTACTACCATATGGTGATAATCTCCAGATCTCTCTGTAGCCTACTTCAACTTTCTCCAAGGACCCTGCCACCTCCACATTAATTCAAAACAGGTTCTATTATCTCCACACAAATATCAGGAAACCAGGGCCAAAACAGATGGGAGACACCTTTTTCCTCCCAAGCCACAACTGATAGCACCATCTAGTTGAATTTATCTTGCAGGTTAGACTGTGATCCACTGTTCTCATGTGTTCGCTCAGATTTCAGCTTCTGTGAAGAAATTTAGGTCCACAGAGTCTGAGTAAGTTTTAAACGAACACCTCTGAGGGCTGGTGTTCGAAGCCATGCGGTTGCCTCTCAGTGCCAGTGATTCCTGACCTCTTTGCTGCTATTTATTTCAAGCCTGTTGCCTCCTTCATTTACAGCTCTTACTCTCACACCTTTCATCTCATCCAGTAGCCAGTCTGATTGGCTCTCCATTTAAAATTAGTTGAGAATCTGAATATTCCTCACACCATCCTAGTCTTCTGGAATAATCGAACAGTGGCTTCATTGAGTCCTCTCCTTTTATCTGTGATCCTGAATTTACTACGCAGATTGATCTTTCCAGAACCCAAGTCAGACTGTGTGAGGGCATGTGTAAGCACAATTTCTTGTTTAAATCTTACCGTGGTCGGAAGTCGCCACGTGACCTACACGGCCACCTGCCAGCTCTCTGGCCACAAAGTGACCCTGCTGTTCTCAGATGCGCTACTCAAGATCTCATAATTGGCTGATTCTCCTCCCTGCTCACCCGTCTTTTCCTCAGGTAGCTTTAGGGCTTGCTTCTGTGTTTTACTTCTCTGCTTAACCCTCTTAGCCCCCATAGACATCATGGCACTAAGACCCACTTGAAATGCCACCCGCTTTAAATTGTTTATCAGCTGTTCTATAGCCTATGACGACAGTTTTTTCTTTATTGTCCACTGCTCTATCTCCAGGCCTAGAAAAATGTCTGGGGTAGCAGACATGTACTGTAGAATGAGCACATTACATACCTTTACAATCACGGTCCTACTTGTCTAGACCAGAGTGGAGTACCACTGCTGGCGCGTACTCCAGTGTCTGTAGCCTACTGACTAAATTTGTTTAGTTTCGATCTCCGTTTAGTATCTTTTGATTACTTGCCACTGATTGCAGAATATACTCCCGGTTTCTGATTATGATTAGTGGGAGGTCTGTGATTGGAGTCTAGCCCCCAGTGGTAACTCCACCTTCAGGTTATTTCTGCAATGCCAGCCAGTCTGGGGCCTTGGGAGCTTAGCCTCGCAGGCCTTGTTCCCACGCCTCGGTGCCTTTGACCCTCCCTGTGCCTGGACTGTCCTTCCAGGGCCGGTGAGCCCCAGGGTCCAAGCTGAGTGGACTGCACCCTCCTGTCTGCCTCCCTCAGTGCTGTGTTGGAGTCACAGGTCCTTCTCTTAGGGCTGAACACACCCAGGGCGGGGCCTTGGACCTGAAGTACCTTTCTGTGATAAACCCTTGAAGTTATCTGCATACAATTCTAGTATCTCCAGGTAGTTTTGCTGAAGAAGTCCTGTAACAGTTTACATCCAGCCTGGAGTATTTTCCATGTGAATGATGCTAAATCGGAGTAGCCTGAGGGACTCCCTAAGAACCATAGTTGGAAAGACAGAAAAGCATTCCTGCTGCCCTCCAGCATCTCTCCTGCTCTCCCGTATTCTAAAAAAGGCCTAGGAATGTTCTCCTATTAGACTGATTTACACAGACCATCCATTCTGCTGCATTTAGGTTCATGAAAACAGCTTTTCAGGCCTAGGGAGGTAGTTCCCAGCTGCCCCTTAGCTACCAAGTGGCAGCTACGTGATCCTGTACCCCCACTCGGCCCTCACCAGTGACGCGGCGTCTGGCCCGCTGCCTGCCCCCCGCCCGGGCCGCAGCTGCTGGTGTCCCAGCGCCCAGGCCCTGGCTTTGCCCTTGTTCTCCCTCACCACACACTGCGACGCTGAACCACCTGAGAACATCCTCTCACCGCGGAGGGGTTTTATTTCTCAGAAATGGTGTCAGCTGGGCAAATGGAAAATGATGGCTTGTCTGAATTTCCTTTGGGAGAGCGAGGTCCACCTGAACCCACACTGGCGGGGTTTAAAAATCCTGGGAGCCTGCTGGAGACCCAGGGGGTACACAAGGGTGTCACCACACTACTGCTCCTCCACCGCCTGCTCCAACGTTTGTGGCGACCACAGAGCAACTAGGAATCCCGCACGCTAGTGACGCCGTTGGGCCCGAGCCTGCTCTCCACCGCGCAGTGGAGTTAGGGAGCCGGATGCCACGTCTCCTGCCTCACATTCAGGCAGAGTATAGGCGTTTCGTGTCTGATGGAATTTCACGAGAAAGACTCGGAAAGACAGTCAGGCTGTGAAAGAGGCGCGCAGGAAGAGCTCTCTGAGGACGTCGCTCTAAGCAGGAAAGGCGAGGTGTCCGCCATGGAGAAAAGCATAGTGCCGGCTCAGGGGACAGTGTGAACGGGTATGTGGGGTGGGAAAGGCGTCGGGTCTCAGGAAAGTGAACGGCGGGTGGAGGAGGGGAGGGAGAGACGAAGCAAAGTAAGATGGGAGGGATAGTGGGGAGAGTTGAACAGCATGTATGCAATCTACTGTTGCCCTTCTGTTCCTCAGACTAGATTTTTAAAGATTGAGTTAATGGTTACATGCAGGATAAATATTGTAAAGGTTACTATGAGGAGGACGTTGTGTAATGCCTTGAGGAATGAGTAGGCAGAATGAGGCAGGAAGACAGACTCTTAAGAGCTGGGTAGTCTGCCATGAGGCTGTGTGTGCAGAAGCATGAGGACGAACATGGAGACACCTCAGTGACCACCTGACTGTTTCACATCGTGCGAGGTGAGGCTTGGTACTTTGTCTCTGTCTCTATGCAAAATACAGGCAGCTGTCCCAGGCGCTATGATGGTGAAACACTTGAGTATTCCAAACACCTTGGTGCGATCCCTACGGAGCTACCTTAGAAGCTGGCTGTGGGAGCCTGGGCTTTGGTTTCTCCAGTGAGGAACTACGCATCGTAGGCAGCAACTCAAATGCTCACTGGGGTATGCAAAGGACAGATTACAGTGTAGATTTCCGTTTGGTGTAGCTTCAGAAGCTGGGACCATGGTGGTCACTGATTTGCCTGTGGAGCCCTGACCTACTTGGCCCGTGTCTGCTGGCCGGGTGACGCCAAGGGGACACAGGGAGGCTGATGGTCCTGAATCAGCCGTTTCATGGTTGGGCCTGCAATTAGGTGTCGGTGTTGCTTAACCTGTTAACTGTTTTTATGGGAAATAATTCTGTACACGATGCTCACAGTCTCCAACAGCACTCAGCAGGCTCAAGAAAGCAGCCCAGGAAGAACCCGCACCCACATCCCCCAGACACACCAAAACCTACGTCAATAGCAGCCTGCAGAGCTGCCCAGAAATGGGGGCAAAGTGGACTTCCACAGCAAAGGTCAGGACAGCACCCAGGCTGACGGGAGACAAAGAGGCGCTCAGCGGGCTAGTAGGGCAGTGGGGGCAAAGCGAGAGCTCTGAGGGCCAGAACTTTCTCCTGAGGGGGTTATGCCCACGCCCCAACCCTTCTGACCAGCGCAGTGAGGATGAGCCCCGGGAGCCCTGGCGGGTGGTGAGAGAGAGCAGCACTGAAGCTGACAGTACTGTAGGCGCAGAAGCAGGTGGACACCGCTGCCGGCGGCCTCTGGCCCCCGTGCTCAGCCAGCACTGGGGGCCAGCACTGTCCTACCCCCCTCCACACTGCAGCCTCGCAGGCGCCCCCTGAAGTGAGCTCCACCTGCCTTGGCAGAAGTCAGCTGAGAGCCAGGTGACAGCAAGTGAGGGGGGGTTCATTCACCCCACGCAGACAAGCAGGCTCTGTCCACCCGCACGAGGTGGGCCACATCCCCGTAGTCCCGCCGCGCCATGATTTAGTAAGTAACAACCATTCTGTTTGTGGAACTGGCTGTAAGATCCAACGAATTCTATCTCTCATCTACTGTGTTAACTTAATATTTTTAGTTACTGGACTGTTGAGTGCATGTTGAGCCTGGCTGCCGTGTGTACATGTGCTGTGATGTAAACTTGTTACCATCCTTACTAAATTGAGGCTATCTAAGAAACACTTGCACGAAGGGGCAAGACCTTTTTCTTCACAAATGGGGCTAAAGGAGAGGATTGCTGGAGACGCGAGTCTTCTGCCACCGACGCCCTCAGGAGACGTATCCACCACAGGCCACCCACAGGCATGTTGTTCAAGAGCTTGAACATGAAATTGTCACGGTCCAGGTGAGGCTTATGTGTCCACAGGCTGCTACTTTAGGGGCTGCTCATGACGTGGGTGGGGGTGCAGAGGGGTACACATCAAATGTCCCTGACTCTGGCGCGCTATCACCAGTTTGCTTTACCCTTCGGTTTGAGTGTTGCGTTTACATTTACGTCAAGAGCAAACTTGTTACTCCCAGCAGCACGGCCTTGATAGCAGGACTCTGCCTGCTGGGGCTGTGTGTGGTAAAGTGTTGTCGCCCAGGTGTCTCAGGGTCACACTGGGTTCTCTGGGTCTCTTCCAGGTTTGTGACTTGGCTTTCAGCCTGAAGAAAATGCTGATCCGACACAAGATGACTCACAACCCTAACCGCCCGCTGGCAGAATGCCAGTTTTGCCACAAGAAGTTTACGAGGAACGACTACCTCAAAGTGCACATGGACAACATCCACGGTGAGGCCGACAGCTAGTGCTGCCGCCGGGGAGCAAAGCCGCCGGAGGGCTCCTGAGCCCAAACCCAGACGTCCTCCGGATCAGCATAGCAGGAACCGGCCAGCAAGTGGGTGGCCTCACAGTTCTTGCTCTCTTGCCTTCGTTTAAAGCCTGTAGTTGCATATGCAAGGAAAGAAAACCCGCTTTTCCCAGAAATTACTGCAAACTGGCGGGAAAAAGGCAACTGGTGGCTTCACAGACACCACCTGTGCTGTGTTCTGCAGGAGTAGAAGCAGGGACCACAGTCCGCCACCCTCCTCAGTCGTGTCCCTGCCATGAGGTTAGGGACGCTCTCCCCGAGGCCTCCTGTTTCTAGTTCCCCTGCGTGTGCATCTGTGGCCAGGGTAAAACTGAGGGCCGGGGATTTCAAAGCCTTAAGGATAAAACATGGCATTTTGTTAAACTGGCCCAAACCTAAAGTTGAGCTTTTTGATGGTTCCCTACAACGGGTCACTTTCAAATAAGCAGCTCTTTGTAAACTAAAACATCTTTTGAAACGTTGCTCTTTTTGAGAGTTCTTAGGAAAGATGATTCCCTCTACCTGTTCAGATAGACATCCAATGCCCTGAAATACTTTTACAGGGTCTACGCAGGGTCTATGCATGGATTATCATCAAGCTGATCCTCCCGAGTTTATACTGCTCATCTTTAGAAACCAGCAACACACACACCCCAGCTCAGAACTGCAGCAGAGAAAGCCAGTGTGTGCTGACTGCACAGGACTTAAGGGGAGCCTACTCTTCACCCTCCCCTCCCACGCACTTGATAGTCAAACAGGACTTAGGGAGCAGTAGTGTTTTTTTTTGCAAAAATGTTCCAGAATCTCTGCATCAGTGATCCTGAAACATTTTTGAACTGCCCTCAGTCATCTTACATCATTACAAATCTAGAAGGACAAATAGAAACCTGGCAATTACTATGATTGAAATTATCGCTGATGTTTAAAGGGAGTTAAAACCAGCAGCATGATTTCCTCCTCTAGGTTAAATGCTTTGCATCAGCATACAATGAACACCCTGTTTTGGGAGAAGGTACAATAAAAGGTTAATAGTGAGGTCGAAATAATTGAGATGAGAACAAAATTAAGATCCGACCATCAGATGTTCTGCCTGGTGCCCAGACAAGAGAGACCGTGTATGCTTTTAAGGAACTTATTTGATTCTAATGAATGGAAAGGAAAATGTGCTCTGAAAATAGTGCTTTAAAGTCAAGACTATTGTATGCTCCATTCCAATTTGTACAAGTACTACACTGAAACTCAACAGAGGTAACTTTAAAAAATACAAATCCCCAGATTATAATTTAGGTAAGATCTAACTATAGTTATGTTGCATTTTGCATCTCAAATCACTGTGTTTTATATAAAGATTTTGATCTTGTTTCTATTGTTTGTTTTAACAGTACATTGCTAGATCCTAAAGTGCTTTAACATAAAAGGACAGCTGTAAAATTTAGTAGTGTGGATTATTGAAACAATTTCTATTCATCTGTCTGGAGCTGGTTTCCTTTGCTAGGCGGTGCTTCGTATCTCCATCATGTAAAATTTGACAGAGAGCCAAATGCCAATTTGGTGGAGTGTGAGACTCACAATGACAGGGTTGCTGGGGAAACTGCCACTGGAACTATTGGTGCCAGGCCCCGGGGGAAGAGTGGTGAG